CTTTTCACTTTTCTCCTCTTATCAATTAGGATGCCACTTTTTGAGGTAATTAAAGAATTAAAAAAAAAACTCCATGCCTCAAACTTAGGGTTTCTTCTCCCTAGTGTTTCTCCCGTACACTGCTTCTAGGGTTAAGGGTAATGGCGACAGGTTTTCCTCCCTAGGGTTTCTCTCTAGCAAAGGAGTTCCTTCATCCTTCCTTTCTTTTTACCCCTCCCTTCCTCCTCTTGATCTCCCCTTTCATCTTGTCGCCGTCTTACTTTGAAAACTCCAACCCAAGGGACCACAAGGCATGCATCGACTTTTTGAATTTTTTAGGGTTTACATCTATTGATTTTCAAAAGCTGTAATTGGAATTGATCTTGCTGGTGAAATGGGTTTCTCCTATTTAACGAACAAGAATCTCGCTTTGGTGCATCTCCTCAGATGGGATATTGGCAGGGGTTGAATTCAGCGAATCTGGTTCACACCAGTTCTTGATTAGGTAGTCGATTGTCGAAGGAAAGGGATGCTGTTGGTAAGGTTGGCTATGGTCGACGTGGGAAGCCTGATTTTCAAGCCGACAAAAGGGCTTTAGTTCTCTTAATGAGTTTCGATAGCATGGGTTTGAAGAGGATCGGCAAAGATGGGAACATGATTGGGAGTATACAGAGGCAACTAGGGGCGTTATGCTTGTCAAGAGAAGCCCTATACCCTTCTTAGTTGTTTTTCTTTAAGAGCAAGTACGGCGGCAACTAGTGAGTTGAAGGCTGTTTGTTACCATAATCCCTTGCTCTCCTTAAGAAATTGGTTAAATAAGTGAGGATGTTTAATAGTTCTTAATACTCACAGTGACTCCCTTTCTACATTAGTAGCCCTATTTAGCTCATATAACGATTGTAAATTCAATTCTTAGTTGTAGATGACTTTCTTTACTTAATTATTTATATCTGTCATGAGCATAATTTAAGTATGTTATTAATGCTGTAGGTTATGCATCTAATTTTGTTTTTAGGTTATTATGATTTTGGTTATATGTCATGAGATGGAGATTTTGCTATAATTTCTTAATACTTAATATATTTTTCTATTTCTCGTAAAAAAAAAAAAAAAAAAAAAACTCCATGCCTCAATTGCTAAGCCAATTTTTTTTTTTAAATCTTTTTCAAAATTTCGACCCCCATCTCAGCATATTGTAGTGTGAAATGTGAAAAAATTGTTATCGTTCAACAATTATGTGGTGAAGGGGCAGGAGGGCACATGAAACTAAATGATTAGTTATTGGTAGGGGTGTTTGTGGTGTGGTTTGATTCGGATTTTACTATTTTTTAAACTAATTCAATTTAATCGGTTAATAAAATTTTTAAATCAATTCAATCCATTATTATGTGATAACCAAACTAATCCAATTTAAATTGGATTGATGTGGTTCAGTCGGAGTGATCGATTTTTTAACATTATTACATATATAAGATAATGTAAAAATATTTTAACATCGAATAGAAAGTATAACTATAAAATACATTAACATCAAAATCAGTAAAAATATAATAATAGGTAAAAATTATAAACAAATTCTTATACTCCTTTACATTTGTAAAAATTGAAAATTTTTGAAAATTTTTGAAAATTTTTCTTAGTTATATCACTAGAGACACCAAAAACAATAAAAAGTAACTTTAAATTTCTAATATAACGTAAATAATTCTTGAAGATTAAAATTAGTTTTTTTTCCTAATATACTAATAATTTAATCCCATTTTCTAAATTTTGTTAAAAGTGAATAACATTTAACATGAATATTACTAAAATTGATTAGAAGCATTCATAATCAAAATTTAAAACTTCTAAACCAAATATCCAAAAATAGTAGAATATTAGAACTAATTTTATTATATAGTTTTAATGCTTTTAGAATAATACTTATTTAAAATTTAATTAGGAGAATCATAAAATTATTTTAAGAATAAATTAAAAATTTAAGGTTTTAAGAGTAAAGGCGCAAACCAATTCTGAGATGATAGAGTTGCAAGTGAATTACAAATTTAGAATTAAGGTTAGAGTGCATGATTAAGATAGAGAAATAACTTAGAGAATATGGAGATGTTCTATTTTTATTTTTTTAATTAAGTTAATGGAGTTATAATCTTGTAAAATGAGAAAAAGAGAATTTAAAATAGTACAAAAAATATGTTATATTATTTAATTAAATTATCTTCTAATCGAATTTTATTTTGTAATCGGGCAGTTCGAGCGATTTGAAGGTAAAATCACGAACCAAACCAATTATATGGGTTTAAAAATTTTAAAATTCAAATCAATCTAATTTTACATTGATTTGGATCGATTTTTGTTCGAATTGAATCAGTTTAAATCGGATCAATCGGATTAAATTGGATATGAGCACCCCTAGTTATTGGATTTTAACAATGTAAGAGATAATTGGAGAAATTCGACCTCAGCAATTAACTTTTAACACGTGCTCGTTATTCCTTGGTGTAAAAAAAATAAAAAAAAAAATAAAAAAAAAATAAAAAAAGAAAAGAAGAAAAACACTGTGTCTTCTGCTTTTGGACGGATGCTCTGTTTTTCTGCTGCCTTTGGGAAGGATATGATGTGTGGTGGTGTAAATAATTCATGTTACTAGACACTAGTTTCTTTCCATTTCTTTTTGCTGCTAAATCATGCTCTCCATTATCTAATGTGCCATATAACCAAAATCCCACTTAATATTTATATTTCATGTTATTGAGGAAGGAAATTTTTCATTAAAAATGTATTTAATAAAAAGATATATATTAAATATAAAACATATTACTTTATTCATTATTAATTTATTTTAAATAAAATGCAAATCATATATGTGTTGAAATCCACGCATCCAATGTTCAACATCCAGCTGAGGAGGGGGGGTGGGGGGGGCTCCCCTTCCATATACGGGTTATGGGTTATGAGTTTTGCTAGTACACTATAGTGATGCAACTTTATATAGGTAGCTAGTACTGGTGTAACTTGGAGGAAGCCCCCTCTGTACAGCCTAGCTAGTTATATAGTAGTATTAGACTATATTGACTTCAATTTTGAAATCAAAGTTAGAATTTCAAGTTAGATTTAAGGAAGAAGTATTTGGCTTCTTGAATCACTATTTATCATATGGTTTGATTTTATATTATAATTAAAAAATTAATTTAATAATTACATAAATCTTAATATATTTAAACTATTTTTTCTCTTTATATTTGACCATTATAAAACTTTAGTTCTTTACACTCAAATGAAAGAACATACTTCAACAATAACATACCATGATACCAACCTCATTAAACATGATCTATTAATGGCTAGTTTCCGCTTTCTGGGTTAGGGTATAGTCCATGGTACCTAGAACCACCAACATTTTCAGTGTTAGTGGTAAGAGATATAAGGAAAGGTTGCCTCTTCTACCAGCTTATGATGTTATATCAACAAATATGATCAATTGTGGGGGCCTGCTTTGCTTAGCTAAGTTTCTTGAGCACATCCCATTTAATGGGCCACATGCCACTATAACACTGCTGAGTCAACTTGACATGGAGGTTATAAATACAAGGCTAGCCACCTTCACTCCTCTGTCTCAAAATCACAAAGAAATTAGCTTTTCATTAATAGATGCATAGAGTTTAGTGGTTCAATATCATGGAAGATATGGAGAAGATAGGAAGAAACCTCGGAGAAGATCTTGCAGGCCCTGGGGCTCTGGAGGTGATGGTGTCTGTTGATTGGAGAGGCAGAGCCTGTAAGCCCAACAAGCATGGTGGAATGTCTGCTGCAATATTTGTCCTTGGTATTTCACTTTTTTGCTCAATATTTTCTCTCTTTTTTTTTTTCGGTTTATTTTTATTGATTTCATCAGGGGATATATAACAGTTTTTCTTGGTGCTTTTTGTTGTGGTTTGAATTATTAATTCAGGGCTTCAAGCATTTGAGATGATGGCAATTGCAGCAGTTGGGAACAATCTTATAACCTATGTGTTCAATGAGATGCACTTTCCTTTATCAAAATCAGCAAACATAGTCACCAACTTTATAGGAACCGTGTTCCTCCTCTCCCTCCTTGGTGGGTTCCTCTCAGATTCATATCTTGGGAGCTTTTCCACCATGCTCATCTTTGGCTTTGTGGAGCTCTCTGTAAGTCTCTACACACCCCCTTTCTCTCTTTTTCACATGAATTCCTTTTTCATTATTCAAGCACTACTACCTGCAATTAATCCAGATATACTTGATTCTTGTCCCACCTTTACATCTCACCTACTAAACATTAAATTCTTCCCAAAGGGTCCTCTTATCATAACAAATTTCCTTCTTTAAAAGGGTCTGCTTAATGTTTGCGGAAATGTCTGTCTGAAACAGGGGTTTATACTTCTCTCTGTTCAAGCCCATCTTCCCCAACTGAGGCCACCCAATTGCAACATGATTTCTGATGGAGAGCATTGCCAGGAGGCCAAGGGCTACAAGGCTTTGATATTCTTTGTTGCACTTTACTTGGTAGCTTTGGGGAGTGGATGCCTAAAACCAAACATAATATCTCATGGGGCTGACCAGTTCAAGCAATCCAAGAGGCTCTCAACATACTTCAATGCTGCATACTTTGCCTTTTGCATGGGGGAGCTGATTGCACTTACTCTGCTTGTTTGGGTCCAAACTCATTCTGGTATGGATGTGGGGTTCGGAGTCTCAGCTGCTGCCATGGCTGTTGGCATGATCAGCTTCATTTCCGGTGCACCTCTTTATAGGAACACACCCCCTCGAGGAAGTATCCTTACCCCAATTGCTCAGGTAATATTTCTTCTTTTCTTTCTCTTCTGTGA